ACTTGCTCACATCTTGTTAAATTCAGTTGTGTTAATCCACAAAGTGCAGTAAACCTCAGAGCAGCAGCAGCCCAGATCATCTGATCACAGCCTGCACACAAAAGAAGATCTACAAGAGCTCACAATAGAAGTTGCGATTCTTTTCCACCTCGTGCTGAATCCCGCTTTAACGCTGGGCTATACTCATCTTCTGTTTAGCGGCAAAATCGCCCTCTACAATGTAGGCGACAGATAATAGATCTCTTTTTAAAAAAATGTTCCTTCTTTTTTGCATTTTCTAGGGAATAAAAATAAAAATCACACATGTTCTTTATGAGTATAAATACAGAGTGCAACGTTACATTAAAAAGTTTATTCAGGAACTTTCCAGCAATGTGTTTCACAAGTTTAAAGTGAGGTTAACTTAAGGTGACGACCTCACTTGACTCTCCCCTGCTACGTGTGATGCTTGCACTGCTGAGAGAACCGTGAACAGTGGAGTCAGAGCAAACTCTGCTGGACAAACACTGTCATGACACAGCTTCAAAATGATCTTTTCTGTACTATTTTCTGTATCTCTGAACCAAAATGTCAGTCTGACTCTGTGTTAGTAACACAAGGATGTTGAGTTTTATCAGCGCCATGTTAATCAGTAATTAAGAGAAGCGGATTTTTTCTACCACTTGCAGTGGAGGTAGTGTTACAACATAAGGCACACTTTGTTTGAAGAAATATGCAATAAATATTTAACAAAAGCACAAATTTAATGAGTGAAATATTCACTCTGTTGGTATCACACTTGCACTGCTTTAAAACTCTCACTGTTTTCATCTTCAGGAAACAGTCGAACCTCCTCCGAGCTGCTGACAATTCTTCACACAGCAGCAAACGAAAACACACCTTCCTCACAGGAAGCGACGGTTTTGATCAGATCAGAAATGAGTTCAGTTGCCTTAGCAACTAACCAGAAGACACACACACACACACAAAGAAAAAAAAGCCACCCACTCACATTCAAGTTTTATGCTGTCAGAAGGAACCAAAATGGATGAGCTCGGTAAGAACTTTCTGTCATGTTTTACCTTCATGAATGTCCTCAAACTAATCGATGGTACAATTTAAACTGAGGTCGAAACTGTTAGCAAAATCAGGAGTTGGTGTGTTGACACCATGACATCAAGCACAGCCAGTGCTTATGGAGTATTACCACAGTCTTGTGTGTTCTCAGACTGATTTATACAGCAGACTCTGAGTACAATATTTAATGTACTCAATGATCCAGCTCATTAGAAGGAATTTGTCTACCACTGTTCTTGTGTTTTACCTCTGATTCGTAGTGCTCTACATGTAGCGATTCACTACAAATCAAATACAGTGTAACATTTAGAATACAGTAGAATTTTACAAGTCTTAATGAAGTCGTTTAATTCGCATACTGGAAATGAAATAAGGGTGACGGTCAAAAGGTAAGACAAAAAGAAAAAAAATTTAATTTCACAATGTCACAAAATATTTTTCTGAGGTGCGATGATGTTTGAAGATGACGATCTTTACTGACTTACTGACATTGAAAGTTAAAGTCATGTCTTTAACTTTTTAAAATGAACCTTTGTCTTTTTTTGCTACTTCTATGTAAAATACTTACTCATACAAAAGCTTCCCATTTCCCTAGATGTGTGGTTTGCCCTGTGTGAAGGAGTGTTGTATTTGTTGTAACAAATGTCACCAGATTCTTGCGACATTATCACAAGTTTCACTTCTGCAATGTGGTATGCCCTCACTTCCTGAGGAACGCAAGTTGCATGAGCAACCTTAGTCTGCTAGCATCTTGATCTGTGTATTGAAATCCACTGTAACTTACTTCATAGAAAATATTTCACTATACATAAATTATATGTGTACAGTCTAACAGTTAACACCCACAAAGGATGATAAGTGTGAAAGAGCAATGCGTGCCGTACAAACGTTATGTAATATGAATATTTGGTTGCATGAGTATTTTTTTCTGAGGTTTAAAGATTTATTGTGTGTGTGTCCTGCTGCAGATTTGCTGTTAGAGGAGCTGGCCCTGAATCCAGCGGGTTCAGACAGCGTCCCTGAGAAAAAGAGCAACGATGCAACAAAAAGAGAAGTAAAAATTAATCATGAGCTTATCCTGTTTCTGCTTTATTCCCCATTTCATTTGTAGATGAACCTGGAATTCTAAAGAAAACAACTTAAAACCTAACATGTAATTTAATTTCTTTAAGTACAGAAACTTCAGTATATGTTGGTTGTGTTCGCAGGTGCCAAGTGACGTTTGTGTTGGAACTACCAAAAATGGAAAAGTCTCAAACTCCTCAAATGTGTACAGGTGAAGTTCAAAGTTGAACCCGATTCACAGTGGTGCTGCATGACGATCATTAGCTTAATAATTTAAATAATACATTTTAATTAATTTATGTATTTCTTTTAAACATTTTAATGCTAAGGTTTTTCTTTCATTCAGACCACACCCAAAAAGTGTGGTCTGAATGCTTTAATTTACAGTCAAAATTAAAGCATCGTTCTTCAGCATATTCTGGCCTTTATGTAGATGTGCTTTATTTTCTTAAGGTCTAAAAGGTTAAGAATTTCCAGTTATATTTTTGCTATGGTTCAGAAATGCAACCATTGGGGCGATTGTGGCTCAAGAGTTGGAAGGTTGCCGGTTCGAGCCCCGGCTTGGACAGTCTCGGTCGTTGTGTCCTTGGGCAAGACACTTCACCCGTTGCCTACTGGTGGTGGTCAGAGGGCTGGTGGCGCCAGTGTCCGGCAGCCTCGCCTCTGTCAGTGCGCCCCAGGGTGGCTGTGGCTACAATGTAGCTGCCATCACCAGTGTGTGAATGGTTGGATGACTGGTTGTGTAAAGCGCTTTGGGGTCCTTAGGGACTAGTAAGAGCGCTATACAAATACAGGCCATTTACCATTCAATTATTAATGATGTTACAGGATGTCAGTTTTGCATTTTAAAACATTCATGTTTTTCCTCTCTGGGATTTAGTGATGTTCCAACTCCTGTGCCAGCTTTTGTGGAACCCGACTCACCGACTCAGGAGCTGGACTTAATCTTGCAAGACCTGATGGGTCTAGCTCAAGGGGTTAGTACTACCCCAGTGTGGGAATACATATTTTATAAATATTGAAAGTAATCTGTGTTGCCCCTTTGAGCTTATTTATTTTAGTGTGAAGCCTGAAAAACTACGTCTATCTATTTTCAAACATTAGTAAAATGACATGGTTAACAACAGAGGGCAGCATTGTACTTATATCAGACTCAAGCTCTTGGACCAATAAGCATTTTGTTCTTAAACATTAAAAATACTCTGATTAAATATAAAATAAATATATTAGACAGCTAATATATTTTGAGGAAATATGTACATAAAACTGTTATTCCTACATTTTGTACCATAATTTAGGATCTAGAACCTCCAACTGACCCACCATCACTTACACAAAAAAAGCAAACAGAAGGTGGAAAACAGGCGAGCAGCAGCAGCAGCAGCACTCCAGCGGCTTCAGATGGAAAAGCCACAACGCAGAGAAAGAAAACGGATATGATAGATGACCTGCTGGGAGGGTTGAGCACTGACTTGGAGAAGATCGGTGTACGGACCACAGCCAAGGGCCACTGTGCTTCCTGCAACAAATGCATTGTAGGAAAGGTACAATCTGGACCTACAGGACACAAAGAAGAGAATTTGTCACACTGGTACCAAATTGTGGAAATTCAAACAAGATGAAAGGGATCAAAACCTCTTGTTCCCTCTTTCACTGACATTTCCTTTCTCCAGATGATCACAGCACTGGGTGAAGTGTGGCACCCTGAACACTTTGTGTGTGCGGTGTGTAAGATGGAGCTGAGCACCACAGGCTTCTTTGAGAGAGACGGACGGCCGTACTGCGACAAAGACTACCATCAGCTCTTCTCACCACGCTGTGCCTATTGCAAGGGGCCTATTATGCAGGTGAGGAGAGCTGTATTCATATATAACCCTGCCTCTGCATAGAAAGTAAGATTAAAATAAAAATAGGTGTTAATATGATCTCCACTAAAGGATGAAATTTCATGTTTTAATGAATTCACTTTGGTGGAAAATGCACATAGAAAATGACCAAAATACCAATCTGGAACTCTCTGGTATCTAAACGTCACTCAAATTCAGCTGCACTGTTGTTTGATGTAAGCTATGATTTGTTCTGTCATATAGTACATCAATTTATTTACACAATAATCTTTTGAAGATTGGATGATGACATACAGTAGTACGTAATCAATTTTTCTCAACATATCCCACATGTCATCCTAATGGAGAAAACACAAAACCATACTGGGATTCTGCTGCAGACCAAAGTCATCAATCAGAAACGAATGCAGCTTCTTCTATGTTCCACTTTGTGTGTTTCACAATTCACATTTTTGTGTTCCCTGACATTTGAACATGTGAGATGAGACAAACCTTACTAATCCTCAAAGGAAGTAAATTTATGATATAATATTTTGGGCTGCTTTAGAACATCGTGACAGCTCTGGACCAGACCTGGCACCCGGAGCACTTCTTCTGCGCACACTGCGGAGGCTTGTTTGGAACGGAAGGTGAGAGATTTGTGGATTATTTCCCTCCAATTGAAACCACAATGTTAGCAAATAACTCACTGCATCTTATGCCGATCCTAGGTTTCCTAGAGAAGGATGGGAAGCCATATTGTTGTAAGGACTTCTACTACCTCTTTGCTCCAAAGTGCTCGGGCTGTGGGGAGTCGGTGCGGGAGAATTACCTGACTGCAGCCAATGGCACCTGGCATCCAGAGTGCTTCGTCTGCGCGGTGAGCCTCTTACCTCAGACCACACACACAGCTCTGGCTTGCATACGAGCCTGAGAATAAATGAGAAAAGATGCACGTTTGCTTTATTTGCAACATTTTGACCTCAACACTGATGAAAACCATATGCCCGATGAATACTCTGCTGTTAGAAATGATGCAGATAAATCAAGGAAGTGTGGGTATCTTTTACATTCTCTTCAAATCTATTTCTGTATGTAGCATCTGGTCAAAAATGGTTCAATGTGCAGCTCTGCTTTGTTTAACATGTGCAAGTGTAAAACATAAAATGCCCTCAGTAGAAAGAGACAAGCAGGAGCAACTGCAATGTTAAGAATGTATTCATTGTTTTTCTGGCAG